CCATCCACCGCCTGCATAATAAGCGCACTCATAAAATTCCAGCGAACGGCTTCCTCTTTTCTCTCTCTATCTGCCGAGTTAGCCGCACATTTTAATATTAATGAGGCAAGCTAACGATTCGATCGCGAGGAGCCTCTTCCTCAAACGCCCTTTTACTAACTACAGAATTATAGCGTCGACTCTCGATATCGATCGGATTCTTATTAATGTAAATCAATCTTTCAATCTTTATGAAGGAAGCCGTTTTGGTGTTGCGACCGTATGACATTTGAACAGTCGCGTGTTCTTCGAAATTAGATGAATTTATTCCGAGAGTTCTCGAGAAACTTGAAAATACAGAGACCATCCTGAGAAGAGCAAACAGTTCCTTTTTCGCGAAAAACAAAGTGTTTTTCACGAAAGGGGATCTTTAAAAAATAGAAAAGAAACTTCGGACTGTCTTCTCGCATTCCCTATCACTGCTGGCAAGTAGAAGGGCATTGTTTTATGGGCAATCTCAGAAAGTACTTAGCGAAATTATCAGACGTCGTCGGGTAAACGACAGCGTGCAGATTACACACGACGTTAATTCGCTCGCAAAAACATCTCCGTTTGAATCTTCCGGCTCGCGAGACACGAGAGAGCGCGCGACGACGCGGAAGCGGAAGAGGTGAATTTACGTTCTCATTGGCGGCAACTTAGGCCCCATTACGCCTAAGAGTTCATCATTTGCGTCAATTATCGTCTATTTCTCACTTTCTCTAACAGAGACGCGGCGCGATGGCGCTCATGAAGAATTCAACGACCGATTCCGTACGAGAATAAACGGCTCGATGCCGTAAATCTGGGCCACCGCGATCAAGAGTTGCGATTCAATTCATTATGCGACGCCGTTGACGGCGCAGTAAAGGCAGCCGACGACAGTCGTTATCGAGTCTCGACGATTCGATTACATGCATGTCGAAAGAACGTTTTCTAAGAAAGTTATGATGAGAAACATTAGCTTGAGAAAATAAAAAAATCTTTAATATAACCAGAACGACGAAATAGTAGTAGTTAATTTTTCATTGTGCACTACATAAAAAAAAAAAAGATGTTATATCAACAGAATTACAATTTTTTAATTACAAATAATTTTGTTAATTTAATAACGCTTTCCATGAAACAAATAATATGTTATTAAAAGAGCATGACGTATTCATTTTATTAATAGTGTTATTGATTAGTTCAGTTATAAAAAACAATTTTAATGAAGAATAGAAGAAATATAAAGGCTAGAAATATGGTTATATGGCACATAAAATGCATAAGCATGTATAGCATAACATAATATAAAACCATCTCGACCAATGAGCATCCAACATAAAATTGCCATATTGATTTACGTAACTCAATGGTCCAGATGGTCTCCTACTAGCTATATGCTTGTATATTTTGTGTATAATAATAAAAGACATGGCGCACAAAAACTATATTCAAGAGTTGGAAAAAGATAAAGAATTAAGTTGAACCTCGGTTAAAAGTTAACCGTGAGTTGTGGAACTGGGGGTCTTAAGCAGTAAAACTTACGTCTTATAAGTTAGCGGAACAAAGTGAGCAGAATCAATTTTAACTAACATTTTTATTTGTTGCTAACAAGTTGCCAAAGAAAAAAATTTGTTGCTCTATTAGTTTTTTTTTTTTTTTTTAAATAATGTTTCGCTAATTTATAAGACGTGTAAGACTTAAACAGTGAGCAAAATTAAAATTTCGGATTTATTACTGCTTACGTTATTGCATTACTCTGCTTGTGATTGGCCGATTCATTCATTTGTCTTAGAGGCTACGCACAAATCAAAATAATACGAAACAGGAAACAGAATATAAGAATTTATCAGAAACTATGTATCGTATATATTGATGCTGACAGATTGAAATTCTTCTATTCTTTATTCCTTATTCCTTTTATTTTACGCAGCTCTTTACTGCCTTACATTTTTTGTGTGCCATAACCGCAAAGGTTATGGTACACAAGATGCATAATCATAGCATAATTAGCATAAAACCGTGGACTAATGAGCATGTTATGTAAATCAATATGGAAACTTTATGCTAGATGTTTATTGATCCAGATTTTATTTAGCTATGCTATGCATTTTGTATACTATACTCTAAAAAAGTAAAAAAAAGAGAAGAAAAAATATAAAATAATCGAATAATCGCGATTGATACAGGAAGTTGATAAAAAGGTTCGTCATTTAAGGTATAGTGAAGTAATGAGAAATAAACACGACACGGACTCGAGAATACGTTAAATCCTCTAATTAGCGAAAAGACGAGAAATTCCACCCGAATTTCAGACGAGTTCGCTTTTACGAAACTCGGAATTGGGTTAGCCGCGAGGAATGCACTCGGAGCTGAAAGTAGTTCGCGAATTGTCGTCGGACAATGCACTATGACAATTCCGCTTCGGTGAACCATACAATGCTTATTGCGCAATGCAGCTCGTAATAAAGCACTCGTTCCCTCGCTTGTTCGTTCCCTCGCTTGCTCGTTCGCCTTTAAGACAATAGTTAACGCGTCGTACGCCACACACGTGTCCTCGACCTGGACATAAGGGACTCCTCCTTAATTTGCGCGTCCTTTCGAAAAGGGTGGCGCACGAATTTCCATTATCGATTTTACCGCCTATGTTTTTCAACGATGCAATTTCGTTCAATTTCGTTATTTTTATCCGTGGCATTATTTCATGTTGTTCTGGTAATAACGAAAATACCGGAAAGTTGATAATAAATGTGCATTATAATTGAATTATCTTTTAATTGCGTTGCTTCGCAATCAACTGCAAGAGAAAAAAAATACCGTGTGTGCAAAAAGCACTTGTATAAATAATAGCCATCATTTGGAAGCGTACGTTCCCGAGTTTTCTCTCCACTTCTAATTTTTTAAATTAGAAATTTATGATTGACCTAAAAAGTAACATTATGAAAAATATTAATGTAATTCTTTACAGAAATCTATATTTAATAAATAGAAAAAAAAAATTCTCGTTAATACAATTCAGTTCTTTTAATCTCGCCTAATATGTAAATTATTAGTATATCAGTAATTAAATTATAACTTCGTACGTGCGCAAAATGAGAACTCGCAGCACGAAATACGAGGTTGTACATCGGCGTAAAATGTAAATGGTGTTGAACGAGAAAATATCGTTTCACCGCGAGGAACAAAGTCGAATTGTATCGCAACAGAGAGGGAAAAATTTATAACTTCTCCGGATATCGCGGCAGGACTTTTGAATGGCACGATTGTTCGAGTCCAATCAAATAAAGTGTATATATGTTTCTCTCTTTCTTTCTTTTACCATAGATTGCTAGCCTATCGCCGGAGAATATCACTGTTCCTTCGTTAGTAAAAATGTGTCAGAACGATTAGACTACGTAAGAGCTCGTCGACCCTCCTCTTCAGGGTCGAGACGCTTGAACGACACTTTTATCAGCATGCGTGCTCTCGCGCCTCATTACATTTCCCTTTCTCCCCGATTATTCCTATTTTCCCTGCCTATTTTCTTTATAACGAGTCATTTTCGTATGGCTGATGGTGGTCTCACACATTTAAACGTATTAAGTACACTTGTTTATATATTATGCGTTTTAACATTTTTAACATCAAGACAATATGTACCATTTATTATAATTTATCTAACCTTTAGATAAATTTCTATTACACATACAAGTTCATTTAAGTTGTATATTTTTTGTTTAAGTCTTAGATCAAATGCGAAGAATAAATTTCGAGATTTCTGTTGAATGTTTCAAGGGAATGTATATCGACTCGGTCGATATTTTGGTCTGCAAACGTAAGCATTGGACATTTTTATAAGCTTCGCGATAAACGACGGCGTGAACGAAAGCAATGAAAGTGAAGAGAGAAATACTCTTTTCCGTCTTTTAAATACGAAGGGCACACGCGAAGGTTTCTGCTTCGTGTGACTCACGAATTACAGCTTTTCGATTGAGGGTGAGATCCCCAAACTAAACTACCCCTCGGTCAGAAAAGTATCGTAAGGGAGGTTTGCCTCCTTCGCCATGCGTTGTTTAACAGTGATTCTCAAAGTAAAATTGCTATCTCGTCATCTATGCAATAAATATTTGGGGAAAAATAAATCTTCATATCATAGTTATTCACGATTAATGTTGATGCAATATTTTAGAAAATTGTTATTCGTAAGATTTCGCGCGTTCCTAACTTCGGTTTATTATAAAAGTAACAAGTTTTCCAGCTTATTACTTTATTCGAGAATGTTGCAATAATATAAAATTGTACTCAATTATAACAGTTTGAAAATTTTCATAAAAAAAAAAATTGCTTGAAGTTATCTACCAGCATATTTTCTTGAAAATTTCCGCCAGTTTTCTTGAGAAATTTTACGACAAAAGTTGATACTAAGAGAGTCTTTAGAGAGGAATAGGCACAAACTAGAAGCATGCTCAAGTATAATATATACTTTATGAGCTTTATTTTCAAGAATAAAACTACAGTGTCTCTGAATAATGAATATTTATCTAAATTTTCAAAAGCAACTTTTCTAGAAACATTCAGTCTCTTTTAATAGAAACAATACGCGGTTCGTGTCAATTCCTACATTCAAGACTATCTTAGGCACAGTCTCGAGATGTCATAACATCTTAAGACATTATTTAAGACGGTCTTGTAATAAAAACATACGAGCGATATTCATAGTCCGTTCTTATTTTAAGACAATATCTTAAGTAATGTTTCAAGATGCTAATATAGCCTTCTCTGATTGGTTCATGATGTATTAAGACTGTACTTAAGACGATCTTATCTTAAATATAAAAACCGACTATGAATACCAACCAACCTAAACTTCAAGTATATAATTCAAGAGCACGTCGAACGCGCTACATTATTTCAGAATGCGAAGAGGAGCTTCGCCAAGTCGAAAATATATGCCGCCACGAAGTAGCCATTGGCTTGAAATCCATGCGTCGCAACAATCGTCGCGTTGTCTCGCTTACCGAGATGGACTCGCCATTCGCCTTTTCCCCGTCCAATATCCTCTGCCTCAGGGCGAGTCTGTCCAGGCTGGCGAGCCTATAGCTACCACCGGTCTCGCGTTCCCTGGTGAGTCGTTCAGTCGCGCCACCGCCGTTATTCGAGCCGGCGTTAAAGCTCGACGTGTACTTGGGCAGGGTCGGCGGCGGCACCTGCCGCGCCTTCTCCCGGCTCAGCATCGTGCTGCTGCTGTAGAGGAAGGACGAGTTGCTATTGTTGGGTAGGCCGACTCGGCCGCCGGATGACGGCGAGATGCCCGACGACGCCGTGGACGATGAGGATGACGATGACGACAGAGGCTTGATGCCGTTGCTCTGGGCGCCGCCCGCTGTACCGTTCTGGTTCTCCGTCGTCGACATGTTTTCACTACGCGGAACGGCCTTCTCTTTCTCTCGCTCGCTCCTCCCGCAGGAGATCACCGCGGGGATTCGACAGGGGATTTAACCCTTAAACCGAAAACCGAGAGATGCTTAACGAGTTCGCTCATGTTTCTCATTTGACTATGTATGACGTGTATGTACTCGATACGCTGGTACCATGTATTCGTATTGCAGAGGTACGTGTATAAGAAAAGATTATTGTAATCCGATTATTGTTCGTGTAACAACTTTGGAGCGAACACGTTAAACAAAAACGTGTCTTTAAGACTGATCAGGACATTCTGGTTGCACTTTGAGATATACATATACATATATAATGTAAAATTGATTTTGACACTACACGTACCGAGTGGTCATTATTGACCGTTTCTATTTTTTATATTAATTATATTTCTTACGTAAAACATAAAAGTCTAAACATTTTTTGCCTTTTAATAATTACGTTCTTTACACTGATGAAATATTTGGTTTTCATTACTTTCTTTATCTTTATAATAATTTATTTACTTGGTCCTTTTTATAAGTAATATTGCATAGTAAAAAGATTCATTAATTGTCATTGCGTTTCAGAGTACCGTTTCTATTTAAGTGTTAAAATTATAAAGTATAAGAACTGGATTTTGCGTTCGTAAAACTGCGGCAGTTACAATTACCGATATACAGTTTTATGAGAATTCAAAACTAGGTATCGATTATACAACTTCTTTAGAGTGGAAAAGTGAAATTTTTTTACATGCGTATGTACACATACAAAAAAATTTCACACTTTCACGTTACCACCCTAAGGAAAAGATTACATGATTGACTTCCTGTAAAAAAAAATTGTAGATGCAATGAAGTAATATTCGAGTGATATGCAAAGCGCATGGATGCGTGTAACTGTAAATCGACCGTGTGTCTCGGAGCGACCGATCGAAAGGCTGGCTGACCCCGCAAACTTTATTTGGAACTCGTTCAACAGAAATCATCCGTTCATTGAGCGAACTTCTCTTACGCAATAAAAATAAAATTTAGCCTTGCTTATCCAATAATGAAAGAAACGATCTATTATTCTAATTAAACGAAACTATTATTCTAATTAAACTTGCTTGTCTCCTTTTTAAATTTATTTAAGCAAACATTGAAAAAATTACTAAATTTTAATAAATATTTGTTTGAATAATTCTAAGGGACTCAATAAATGTCAATAAATATTTATTTGATACAAAAATTTAACCATTAATTTAACTATCATCTTTTATTAAAGTAAATGTTTATTTACCATAAGTAAATGTTTGTTATTAAAAAAATATGTAAAGATTTAATAAATTTTTTTCTGTGTAGACATAATAACAAATTTATTTAATACAAAAATATTAGAAAAGATAATAAATATATTATTATTAACTGTGTTGCCAAAAAATAAACCTAATAAAAATGAATACATCCTCTCTCTCTTATCAAGTTTTTAAATAAATAAAAAATATTAAATAAACAAACAAATACATAAAAATACTAGCTGTGTTTTTCAACATTGCCTGCGATATTTTTGTGCAGTGGTTTCAATATGAGCGATTGCGATCGACAGTTTATGCCAGCAAAGTCACCGCGGAGGGAAAAAAAAAAAAAAGGGAGAAGCCTCTCGATCGGGGCGCCGGCGAAACACGTCGAAAGCCGATACGCAATGGTACGGTTTTGTTTATCGTTGCACGAGTGGTACTCCACGAGACGAGAGCCATCCGGCTTGTCTTACGCGCCACGAGGATAACCGGACGACGATGCTGAAAGACGGTGTTCTCGCTTCGGCTTCCTGGGTATCTCACGAACGAATGGACCTGCAGCATTTCCCGGGATCGATCGATAAACAGGGAAAACGAATTTAAATGTGAGGACGGTAGAATCAATACTTGTACCTTCTACGATCTCTCTTTCGATATGCGAGTAGAAGTGCAACGCTACATATTCTGAGTCTTAAATACTTTATACTGTATGATAATCCGTACTGACACTTCAGAAAATTCGATGTTTAATGCAAATTAAGGGAGCTCCTTAATTATACTACTGTCAACTACATTTATTAATGACGAACTAAATATTAAATTCCTTCTATCTCATTTAATATATGAATTTTGTTATTCGACTCAATTGAAGAAATGTTGATAAAAGCTAATAAAATTATAATTAGAATCTAATAAAAAACGAATTGAGCAATGATATAATATGTAGATTTGTTGTTGAGAGAAATATTCTAATTAAACCAACAAAAAACCCAATATAGAATTGATATTTTAGTGGAAATTTGATTGTTATAACCAGAGAGAAATTTGGTTTAGTTTAGTCATCAAAATGCCATTTTGTTGAATTAATCGGAACATTTCTTTCAATATATACAACTCTATGTATTATCCTATTGCCTAATTAGCTTTTCTTATTAGATATTAAATTATTCTACAATAAACCAGAAGTTTTGTTTTGGCTTCAAAATGTTATTCTTGTCAGATCTTTTTGTTGGTTTAATATGAAGATATTTTTCTCAGTGTATAAGGAAACTACATTTGTTGCAATTGGAAACATATTTTTCTGCATTTTTTTTCTATTTCTAATTATCATATAAATTCAAATATCCTGTATTCCGTCGCTCTTCTAACTCGATATCGGAGGAGATTGAAGAATGTCAATTTCGTTCGTAGACATCTGATATACAACGTTACGAGTTGTTTACGCATGATCGCCCAACGTTGACTCACCAGCAACGGTTGTCTGTGTTTCGACTCGCGTATGACTCCGATAACAGGAATGCATCGCAGTAAAAGTAATCGTATTTAAACGGAGTCTCACGAAAAAGCTTGCCCTACCGCCTTCCGCCCAACTTCGCGATCGGCTGAAGAGGCGGAAAGAACACTCAGTGGACGCAAAAGGAAACTTTCAGGGCTGCTCCTGATATCCACTTCTAGCAATGTAGATTAACTTCAATCTTGGTTTAACTTACTTTTGGCTCTAACAAATAAAAAAAAGGGTAAATTAACTTAAGATTAAAGTTAATCTATGTTGGTAGATAAGGATCAAATACCCCCGTTTCTATCAATGCAGACTAACTTTTAACTCGATTCAACTTACTCTTCAACTTCTTTTAATTCTTAGAAACAAAGATGAGATTATAATTATACTATATTGACAGAAACATAAGTCGATCGAACCCCTTCCGAACGAAAATCAATGCAATCTTGTGGTAAACGATTGAAAACTGTTTGCTCCGAAATGTAAGATCTATTCTTTGTCACTGCATTAAAATTTTTTATCTCGCTTTTGCCAAATTTTAAATATGCATAAGCTTATTCTTTTCAATTGAACTTACGGATAGTTCATCTTGTTTTTCTCTGTATCTCTTTACCTCGGAGAAAAAATAGAAGATATAAATGATACAAAAAGTTCAATTAAAAATTTAAGACTAATATCTATTTCATTTTAATTTCAAGTACATTAGTTTAACCACAAAGAACAAATCTATTTATTAGGCCTGTTTTTTCGGTTCAATTTCTTGAACATTCATTTTTTTCTTCTCTCTTCGATAGAAAGAGAAAAAAATACGAATTTATAAAAAAAAAACGGGGCTAATATCTATTTCATTTTAAGTACAAGTGTATATTAGTTTAACCGCGAAAACAGACCTTTATTATTAAGCCCGTTCTTTCCAACTGAACTTCTCGTACAGTACATTTTCCCCTTTTTTTCTTCGTGAAGATAAAGAGAAAACCGTGCAAAAAAATCCTGAAAAGAACAGACCTATTATTTCATACCGATTTGCGTGTGTCAATGAAACAGAGTCCAAGTCCCTTTCTCCGTCCTGCAAGCAGAATTACTCAGAAAGGGAATCAAAAACCGGTACTGTTTCGTCGAATGCAATTTTCGACGCGTGTAAATACGGAGGGAAAAGCACCCCGAGGCGATCGTCACGTTTCCATTGTCACGGATAAATATAGAGGTCACTTTCGGCAGGCCGAAAAATTATACCGGTTTCACCATCCTCGTGTAAAAGGTAAAAATGAGGTAGGAGACAGTTTCTTTTTTTTTTTTTTTTTTTTTTTTTATCAACCCTGAAGTCATCCGGTTCGCTCGAGGGAGCGTTCCTCACCCCTGAGGTAGTGACGGTGGAGCTTCCCGACGATCACAGGTCGCCATTCAGTCGCTTATTACCTCAAGGGTGTACCTCAAGTCGACGTGCATCATAACGGAATGTCCTAGCGAGAACACCGTCGTCGAGAGCGCCGAGCACATGCACTCGCTCGCCCCGAGATCGAGATATCGCGCGACACGCTCACTGCGTAGGTGGTGCGCGCGCGGAATACGAGGGGTTGTTCTCTAGAAGAGAAAGAGAAAAGGACAGAGACAAGGAAGAGAGCGGATCCGAGTACGCGCGCGCAAGACAGAGTGAGAAGGAAAAGGGGGACGCGTCGCACTGCGTGGGCCCCTCGAGGTCCGAGAAGCCGGCGTTGTCGATGATTCACGCTAGCCGGCCGAGTGTGGCTGCGTTTTCACTCTCATTTCACGTGCGATTCGTCGAGCGAGAATGAAAGAGAAGAGAGAGAGGAGATAAATGAGCGCCGAGTAAACGCGTGTATATACCTATCCACCGCGCACGAAACGAGACGCCACAGTTCACAGCACTGCGTTCTCAAGATGAGCCACGACAGACGTACGAAACTACCACCGCGCCCGACTCGAATGAACTGCGAGACGACCACGCCTGACGCAGCTGCCGAGGGCGCGAGGGGGAGAGCGAGAAAGAGAGAGAAAGAAAGAGAGAAACTTCATACGGGCGCCAATCGCGGTCGTCGTTCGCGGCGACGCGAGCGCCAGCGGCTAGTCGCGTGGACCAATCGGAACGTCCGCCGCGACGGCGTGAGAACGAACCCCGAGTCGGTATCGAGCGTCGATACTGCAGCGCCGCACCGACCTGCCGCTAATTTCAACCCTTTACCAAGGGCTTTGAACGAGGGTGCACACTTTTGCTTTCGTTCGTCGAGACTTTATTAAACTCAGACCTTTTTGTACAGTCGACTTCGCATCTGTTAAGTCTTTATTTTATTCGTTATATCTAATCTTTCTATTTTTTTATTTAATATATTTCATTTATATTAATTTCATTTACATGATTGAAGATCTTATTGTGATTCTCGACTACTTTTAGATCCAAGCCACTTGGTCTTGCAATCAGCTAGCATGAGCGATAGAGCTTACATTTGTGTTGACTTATGTCACACAATGGAAGATATACATTTAGTGACATAAGTTAATATAAATATCATTTTATCTTTCTTCGCATTTCATGAGTAACAAAGACAGAATGATATTTATCGACTTGTGTCACTAAATGGAAGATACTCATTGTTTTCCCATATTTGCAGCTTGAAAAATAACACTTACTATAATTACATTTTGGTTCATCGAAGATGGCTTGGAAAGAGAATGAAACGTCTCGACTTTCGTACTTGATAAGAAGAATATATTAAATAATTAATTTACACTCAAATTATCGCTTGTGAGTCTCATTCGTTCTATACATTTTCTTTTCCATTATTTTTTTAATTTAGATAGTCTCCGCCATCATGTATATTATTTTATGTAAACGCTACTTCGGAGACGAGCTTATATTCTCTTTGAACTTCTTGCACCATTCATCTTTTCTCTTTTTTCTTCAATGTGGAAAGAAAAAGAGAAAAGATAAATCGTGCAAAGGTTTAGCTGAAAAGAACAGGCTTATGTTCTTTTCTACGTTGATCAAAGGATTAGTGAAACATGTCTCTATATTCTATAAAAAATTTAAAAAATAAAAACTTGAAATAGTTCGATTACATTGACAGTACTGGCACTCATTAATTCTGATGAACCTATCGTTTTCAGAGAACCGAATATTAATCATATTTTAAATTTAAATAGATATATCAAAAATTATCGTTTCAATAAATAAATTGTTCAATTTTTGAGAATTATTATTAAATTTTTGCAAGAGATTCGATATTTTATTGGAGATATTAATGGACATTGTAGGTAATTATCATTAATTCAAAGACTACAGGAAACGTATTTATTAATATTTAACAAGCTCGTAAATGTAATTAATTATTGTAACAATTAACCGTCTCTAATTAAGTATAAATAGTAATTAATTGTTAATAGTAATTTGGTTAATCAAGTATAGTTAATTAGTCAGTAATTATTAATCATTCACATGAACATGTAGAGTACACAAATTTAAATTTATCAGTATGTTTATGATTTTCATTCTACTTCCAAGAAATATAGAAAGTATATCAAATCTAGAGAAATACAATAATAATGAGAAAGCTATAAAGATGTAGAAAGATTAATTGTCAGAAAAATCGATTTGCGATGTGACAAAATAATAATCATTGCAGATTAAGCTTGCAAGAATATGGAGGGTATAATGAAACCAATTTGTCGAATGACAGAAGATTCTCATATCGAAACATCGCGTGGACTGATCACGCATCCAAAACAATGGATATTTTGAACCCTAAGTGATTCGAGCACGCATACGCGCCGCTCTTGATTTCATGATGTCAACGATCTCAACAATCGCAATTGTCTTCGTCTCTCGATGCGATGCTTGTTATTCGAGCACGTCGTCACTAGGAAGTACGGCGGCAATCGTACTCGTTTTGCGGCCTTAATTGGACATCGAGTTAATAAGAGCACCGAACTGTCGAGACCGCGCGTGCCTGCGTGCGTGCGTGCGTGCGTGCGTGAATACGTGCGTATGCATGTACGACAGAACGAGAATAAAAAGAACGTTCTCGAACGGAATGCAGTTCGTGACAATGCATCGTCGGTTTCCGACCCGCGAAGTCGGATGGAAACTCTGACTTCTTGAGGATTCCTTCGCCAATCTCCTCGAGTTATCTGACACTAACTCGTCGTATATTAATGAAGTCATTACACATAGAGATTGATAGTTTCTTATTATAGATTGCGACAACACATTATTGTTAAACATGAAACTGCGATTTAATTTTTTAAACACCACATTGAAACCTCTTTGAAAAACCTAAGAAATTGATTAATTGACTCTTTTTTCTGAATTTCTTAATTTTAACACCTAATTACAATTATTATCAATTATCTCTATTTCTTATTTTGTGAGAAATCACTCGGTTCATTTACGACACTGCTCAAGCGAAATTCAAGACTCATTTAAGCCGGGATCAAATTGCAAATGAAGATTGAGATTGTGTAGATTGGAATTCAACTAACCGGAAGAAAGGAAACCAATATCAAGTTTAATGAACTTTACACTTTGATCAAATTTCAATTTAATCTCAATCCTAATCTGTAATCTGCTACAGACTTTACCGTATTTGACGCAACAATTTTATCGTTATAGATGCGAATGAGATGTGTACGGCTACCTGTTGAGATTCTTGATTCTTCTGGCAATTATATCTGGCAAGAACAGCCGGATTCAAGCGACGTCTCGACGCGACCGTTGGCATGTCTGTTGTCGACATCGTGTCGACGTTCATCCAATTTCTTAATAGTCAGGTCGTAACTCGATCCGCGAAAACGTTTCACTTTCACGAACACGTTATTACAGCACAAGTAATTCGTCGTGTATACGAAACACGAGAAATTGTGATCAAGAACGAGCCCGGGAACGCAAACACTGTACAGCGAGCGCGGTTTTCTCACCATTCGATAGCTTTTAAACGTTAATGTGCCCGATAGCAAAATGGGATTGGCCGATAAAAGTTCAACCAAACTGGGTTTCTATATATCTGCTCGTGACTTTAAATTGCCACTGTGGTTTGAAACCGGAACGGTTTGTGTTCTGCGGTTTGGAAATCAGTGAAATCAGAACCACACAAAGAAAAAGTGAGTTAAAAAAATACTGCACCGCCCAAAATTATATTAAAACTGTTTCGAGCTCAACAATGTACTTAATTATTAACAATGCAAATTATTAAATTTATGATCGATAAAATAATTAATCAAAAGCGTGAGACCAACAAGGAAATACAGGGAAATGTTCCTTACTCCGATTTTAGTAAGTTTTTATTATGATGTAGTCTCTAAACCCAAATAAAAAATAAATATTTTTTTATATACACGTTTAGAGGATAAAATATCCAATTGTTAGTTTTTTTTAAAACAAATATAGTCGAAACTTACAAAATAAAAAAATTTTTTATTATAATAAAACTTGAATAAATTCAAGAATACTTTATAATAAAAAAATTTTTAATAAAAAGTTTCTAATAAAAAAATTTAATGTAAAAAATATAAAAAATTGTTTTTCTGTCCTTTATAGTTTCAACGATATTCGAATGTATTCGAAAAAAAAAAAAAACAATTTTCTTCTTCTAAAAAGATATTTTATCTCCCTTAAAAGTGGATATAAACAAGTACAAAACAAACATTGGTCCTTACTTTGGTTTAGACGACGGCATATTGAAAGTTTAAAATCAAAGAGGACATCCTTATGTTTCCATGTAAGTTGGATGTAATTTACGCCAGTATAATATCCAATTCTAAGAATCGTAGAAGGACACTGATGTCGTAATCGTAAGTTAGAGATAATAATAGTATTTATAGTGTGTGGAGAAACAAAAAGTAATAAAACTAAGCAGAGAAATAGAATCTACAATAACTGTAAAGCAAATTGTAATCGTGGCGTTACCTTCCAGACAGATCAAATGCGTTTTAAGAAGCAAAAATAACACGCAATAGAAATTCTAGGAGAGACTGACGTAGACAAAAATCACATTTTCACATAGATGCAGCTTTCAAAAAAAATTTTCCAAATAATTTAGATAATTAATCATATCCCTAATCATGATAATTCCTAAACACAATTAATTAAGTAATAACTTAATACAAGTATATATCAATCTTTCTATATTAAATGCTTTCAACATTGTTGCAGATTGATACCCCAATTTTCCCGTGAAAATTAACGTAAAATTTCTTCCTCGCACCAACAAGTCCTTCGACCGATCATCGTGCAAATGTTGAACTCAAGCGGTATTAATATTGCGGACACGAAGTCGACTTCAACGTTCCGACGATCGGAATGCGACTAACCTTATCAGAGAAAGAGACAGAGACTCACCGCTGCCGTAGTGACCGAAGTGACCGTGACGCCGGTGACGTCGCAGTTGTCATCGTCATCGTCGGAGTCACCCATGCGGTCGTCCAGCATCCGTACAGCACCGGAAACATATCAGAAAAGTGGATGGGACGTAGGATAGAAGAGGAGGCAGGATTGCAACACCGCGATAAGAATGATAAGGAGCAAGGACGATAAGGAGCAAGGATCGTCCGGAACGCGAGAAAGGAAGGGAAGAGAAACGTTATGTTAGAATTATCTATTTCTATATTAAAATACGTATTTTATGTTCGATGTTTTTTTTTTTACATAACACTATTCGTCAGGTATACATTTAACGTTTCTTTTTATCATAATTGTTCGTCAAGTATATTTTTAAATATATTTTAAGTATATTTTTAGATATATTTTGCGCCAATTTATTCCAATGAATGTTTTCAATCGATATAAAATGTATAATCAATAAATTTGAGAAAATAGCCCTAAATAAAAAAATAACTGGTTGCAGTTATATCGCGATATTTTATCTTCACTGTAAAAAATAACTGGTTGACTAAACCATTAATGCTTTAAGCAACGTAATATTTATGTAT